CGACGATTCCGCCCGAGATATGTGAAGGCGCAGTCCCATTGCTCCCCGGTAAGTGATGCCCGGTTTCCATGACTAACGGCGCGTTTCTAATGTGTTTGGTAGTAGACAGCTCCGCTGTCATTCGGCTTATAACCGCGCCTGAGTTTGTGGGGTCGGATGGGTGGTTCACCTCTATAAACGCGGAGGGTTAGTTTGTCGGCCCCACACATCAACCTTAGATCCGCATGACTATGGGGTTTGCCACTTATGCAGTTTATCACACGAAAATGATTCTATGATCCGTAAAGATCATTCACATGATTACCGTATTATAGAATGCTCTATGTGCTTCCACATTTGACCGAGATATGCTTCCAAAGGAGGAGCTAGTACAGTAGAATGGTTATGCGTACCGTGTCCTCAATCGATATTTTTCAGCGGGTCAACGTGAACACGTGTCTCACAAGCCCAGGTTTACAATTTTCACAACTAGACTAATACTACTCACTAGTAGTTGAAACGCAATCGTTAGCTTCCATTGATATCCTGTTCCAATGGTATTCTGGGTGATGCCTCATTTTCCTCAATCGACTTTTCCAAATAAAACCAAAGTGATTTCTATTTCCATTCAACCACTAGTTTTGCTTAACACCCTGTTGAAGCCATTCCCTATCTACCTCTTACTGTAAGTTTACTTCAGTTTCCACAAACTCGACTGTGGTTGGTGTGTTTTAGCAATTCCCTATGGAAAACTAACAGATATACGGTTGTAAAATGCAATACTTTCCATGCATTGGAAAGGAAGCCTTAATTTCTAAACATTGAAAGCATTTATAAGTAGTTTTAACCTTGAAATTGAGAATCAGTTTTTTATCGACGTCTCTCATGTAAATATCCTTCACCAACTGTTATCCTATTCGACCGCGAATACATCAATATTCTTTCATCTCCGTATGCTTTGAACTATACTAAAAAAATCAGGTATTCGACCCCAACTATTCCGTCGTTTGATGGGACGTCACAATCGGACGTTTGCCACAAAACATCAACAGGATGCGTGCGAATTTCTCATCTATCTCCTCGATCTCCTTGACACTCACGCACCCAGTCCAACAAACACGAAACCTGCTCAAGCGTTCAATGCTCAAGGTCAACCGGTTACGATCGCCTACCCAAGCTCATGTGTCCGGTTGGCAATCGAGGATCGTCTCGAATGTGGGATTACCAAGAAGGTACGTTCATCTCCTGGGATGAACACGCACACCACATTTTCACCATTCACTTAACTTTGTTCCCGCGCTTTCAATTCTTTCTGGCTGGACTGGATTTTTGTAACCATTTTCGGGAGAGTTGGATAACATGTAAATTTGTACCAAGCAGGCGCGAAATTGGGTGGTGAATTCATGAAGAACATGAGTTTAAAATCAGATTGATATTTTGGATTCGGTTCACACATTCTGGTTAATCCTCTTCAAATTCGGGCGTTCTGTTTGTGTTTTTCTCTCTGTGTATCGTGTGTTGTTTTGTCAGAATATTAAAACTGGTACGGACACAATTTTATCGACACAACCGTCTGCTTTCCTCTTCAGAGTTCTCTGGTGACCCTGCCTTCTTTCCTTTCCTTCAGGTGCGATACACCACACGTAATGAACTAGCATTGTCGGTACCCATTCCAATGGAGGCAATGGTGAATCGACCGGAATATGAGGAATGGCAACGAATAGAACGCGAAGCAGCCGAGTCAGGAGCTAAATTAGATCCCGAACTGAAAGTTCGTCCTCGGATCCCATNTATTGTGAGATGACGTGCTTCCTAACCAGCTTTATCACTGTGTCTGTTTATCACGGTTCAAATGTCCAGTCAAACTTGAGTTCAGCTGGCATATCGATTCTATCAAAATTAGGATGGAAATGCCTTATAAAGCATAGAAAAGTCGCCTGTCATGAATAGCTTACTGAGTAGGATCGCGCGTTTCTGTCTCGCTATGCATTCCGGGTCAGCTGAAAGATTTCATCATTACGCTATATGAATGTGTCGAAAAACCGTCAGCAGAATGAAAATCACTTGGGCATCGAACTGTGGACTGACTATTCGACAAGAACCAAGATCAGCATGCACACTGAGCAGATGCCTCATCTACTTGTTCACCGGACAGGTGTTTGAAACTGATCCGATTTGTTAACCAATGTGTCGGATTTGATGCAGTTTATTCAAGATATATATATTTTGAAAAGGAGAAGGCGGGCACTGAGTGATAGTATTTATTGTGACGTTTCGACTCAGACTGGACTCGTCGAACGATAAAACGTGTGAATATATATATATATATTATATGTATATATATATATATACATATATATAAAATACAAGAACAATTTATTTGGACCCCCTAATCTAATCAGTATATCTCAATGTTCAGTCAGAATTAACTTTGTCATAGATTTAATTCTTCAAACAGCCCTATCCTCGTGCAGGGATAGCGGTATCGATTTACTTCCGGGTGGCAGACTATCTGATCTAGAGTATGCAGACGACATTGTGCTACTAAGTGACGATCCAGGTAAGTTGCAAGCTTTTCTGGATAGTTTGAGTGCTAGTGTAGCGATGTTCGGTATGCGTTTTGCACCTTCAAAGTGTAAAATG